GCCCTGTGAACCATATGCCTTTGATAAGTATTTGTTGAATGAATAAAATGGCATGTGATGAAAATAGTTAAAAAGATTTTCTCTTTCTAATCTGTAGTCACTTACTGTATTGTATACCAGCTATAATGTCCATTGATACTAATCCACATCTATCTATATAGACAGAGAGATAAAATCCACCTATGTCATTCTGAGCTCCTATAGCAGCAAAAAGGCAAAGTGGCTCTTCAGGACTTGTGATACAGGAAAAGGTCAGGAGAAAAATGAGGAGTCAAGAATAGGACTGAGTCTGTTCCCCACAGGCAAGATGGCAAGATATGAAAACAAAATAAATTCTATATTCTCTCTAGCCCTAGAATCTAATCTGGTAAGCAATGGGTAAGCAGCGTGCCCTGCCAGAATGTACAGACTGAAACAGTCTTACCTTCACATTTTTATGAAGATCTTTGAATGGATGGTATTTGCTAAACTTTTTCCAGACCAAATAAATGACTTTTCAGTGAGACATGGACTCTTCATTAATTTTCCAAATAAAAATATCTTGCAGGTTTTAAGTAAGAATCATACGTATTAAAAAGTTTAACTACAAGATGTTCTTCTACGGTGTCATTCTCTTAAAATAGAACCCTCCTAAAATCTCCTAAAAATAAGTTTGCATAGTTTCATTTCATTTTCTAAGGAGATAAACATATCAAAACAAACACTTAGCTCCTTTTTTAAAGAGTCTCTCTCCTACATAGGGCTCACTGATCAAAGTTTAAAAGGGCCAATTTCTTCATTTCATAGGTCGATGACACAGCTTTGAAAAAGAGGAAAAACAGTCCCCCTAGTGTACTGCTGCTGTAGGATGAGGAAGTATATTCGTTGAGAATCACTGACGAAGACAGTACTGCCAAAGGAAATTACAAAACAGCATTTTGGCAACATGGGCCAAGCAGAAGACGGATTCCTTACACACGACCAGAACTGGCCCTTTGGTGAGTTACTCCAAAAGGTGACGGAGGCCAAAATTACAAGCCAACATGGAATTATCACAACTTTGTCATTTTGAAATTTTAAAAACTTATTTTTAGGCATGAAAGTTGCAGTTAAAATAACATTTTCTTAATACAGTATGTTGGGAAGGAACTGGATGCATTAAAGAATGAGAACAGTGAGAACATCAACAGGCATTATGTGGCAGGTGGGCCCTCATCTTTTTACCCTGGGAAGAAGCTGTAAGAGCACACATTCTCACACGAAAGAAGACATCCACAGCAGCAGGAAAAGTCACATGCACAGGATCCTACATTTATGAAATTGTGAGAAACAGCATGGAAACGCATGGCTGCCTAATATAATCATGTCCTAATCTCCTGGGAAATGCAGGTGTGTGGGTGTGAGGAGATGAATAGTGATAAATAGGCCTTAACAGGTAAACCCTGGAATCCTAGAGGTCTGTCCCACAATAGGAGGAACTGAGAGAACACAGCAGTTGAATTAGGGGTGGTGTGGTGCAAGTAAACTTAATCCGAATTAAAGGAAATGTAACCTTTTCCCCTCTTAACCACATCTGACTATTCATGTCTACTTTAATGCCAGAGGTAAGGGAACCTGTGAGATAGCCATCACCTTTCTCTCTGGCACAATGTGTATCTGACAAACCTAAGTTAACCAAGAACTTCCTCCTTTTGTTAAAATGCTACCTTTTCTGCCACCTCTATCACTTCATAGTTCCTAAGTACCCGTACTGATAGACAATGGATGGCTATACAAAAATGTGATAAACTCATCAGCCTCCATCAATATTCGTCTTTCTGACGCTGAACTAATAACCAAGGCATTTTTAGACTGAGAGGCAAATATGCTTTCCAGGAAAGCATCTTCTACTTATGTAAGACTATTTGTTACTTAGTAAAAAACCTTTAAAAAAAAAAATAGGTCAACTTAAAGAGGAAAACAATGTGATAAAGAATAAAGATCTCCAAAACTGCAGCTACTAATTACCTCTCTAACTAGCTATGTGATCTTAGAGAAGTCCTTAACTTGAAGAACCAGGATTTTCACCATTAAAATAAGGGAGTTGAACTATCTCAGCAAACCTCATCCTGGCTGTACATCAGAATAACCTAAGAAACTTAAAAAACAAAAAAAAAACAAAAAAGAAACACCAATGCTAAGTCCCAGACCAACCCAGTTAAAACCGATTCTCTAAGTATTGGTAGTCTTTAAAAGCTCCAAGGTGATCTAAATATGCAACCAGGGCTTCAAACCACTAGTCCCAATTCTGATCTTCAAGGCCTCTTTTCTAATTCTTTTATTCTCTAGTCTTAGGGTGATAATTCTGGTGAGAGGATCTCATAATGCAACAGTCCAAAAAGCCACAAAAGAAGTAAGGCCTAAACCCTGCACACTGTAGCTATGGGCACACAGGGCTAAGAGAGGTTAACCTGAATTCTAGACATTTTTAGAAGTCAAAAACCCTAATGCATAACTCAGAATGAAAGTAGTGTGGTTTAAATGCACATGCATGCTCTCAAAATGACTAATCATGATAGGAATTGACTCCTGAAACTTGGACGCATGGAAATGGGTCACGATTAGCTCCTGACCTCTCCCTTCTCCCTCTTCTTCCACCCCCACTAAACCACAAGCACAAAAAAAAGGTTGGCTATTAGTCATAATCGGAATATGAAACCAGCCCCAGTTTCAAAGGGCTTTCTCCATCATCAAAGATTTGGAAGTTCCTGCATGGGTGCATCTTTTGATGAAGGTCATCTTACAAAAACTCTTTAAATTATATCCCCATAGTCTTCAAGGATTAGCTGCTATGTGATACTCAGAAAGAGAACTGATGTAAAATCTTAAAGTAAAAATAATTCTACTTACATAAAATATAAAAATATTTTACTTCATGTCCTGTATTACACATACTAAGGCTTGAATTTCAATTTACAACATTTCATAAGTTTTAGTTAAAAAGAAATGAAATGGAAACTAATTTAACATTGTGTGTTTATACCTCAACAAAAAAAAAAGAGAGAAAATGAGATAGCAGAGAAGGAAAAAGAAACCATGAGACCAAAAGAAAAGGTTAAGGACATAAAACCACAAAGTTTAGGACTAGGCCCAAAATCTCTACTGCAAGTCCTGCAAGTTACATGAAAATATAATTAACCGAATCACAATTCATGGCTATTTTTGGTAATACTACTTTCTCACCTAGATCTTTAAAAAAAAAAAAAAAATCAAATGCTATTAAACAGTTACTACCTTTAATTACAAAACGAAATGTTATTTGTGGGATTAAACTACTTGGGTAAACTTAAAAAAAGGAAAAGTGAAAACATTTCCCACATTAACTTTTAGCTAACTTTTAACTAGCAGATTCTCTGCACCAAACTCAAAATATACAGGACTAACTTCAAGTTGAGAAATTTGAAAAATATTCCAAACCCCTATATCCATTTTCTTAGATCCTGAAACTCACCCCTTCCTGACACTGTACCCTGAGATTAACCCTCACTATTCACTTAGAAATTCAGTTTTAAAAGATATCACAGTAGCACTGCTTTGAAATGGAATTCACTCTCAAGCTTTCTGTAAATGGCCCTCATATCACACAACTGACATTCCTTTGCAAAGCTGTAAAATTAAATCAAATGTAAGATTCATAATGTCGGCATTTGTTAAAGGAAATGAGACAGAGAAGTGGAATAATTTCAAAGCATACGTTTTGCTTTTAAAGCATCTCAACAAGTCCTCTCCAATACTAGCCATAAGAAATTTTAAAAAAAAGCAGATACTTTGTTTGCAAGGATTTTTTTTTAAGCAAATTAAAACACACTAAATTCTCTAGTTTTTTGCACATACAGGTTTCCTCTCCAGTGCTCCAGTTCTCCACCAAGATTAAACTGTTCTTACTGTATACACGTCCTGGAACCCAGGAAGATACAGGGCTCCCCAAAGACACGGAATGAGGAAGGAACTACCTAATTAAAAAAAAAAAAAAGCGCTAACTTGCAAATAGAAGCAACTGATAAGCCATATGTATCTCCAACTGTACAGGACTCCTCTGCCTGGTACTGACACATTCATGTCTTGGGGAAAGAGGCCAGGAGGATGAGGTGCCAGGAAGAGCAAAGCAGCTGGGTATCAGCAGCCCAGCAGGGGCATAGGAGTTAATCTGGATGCCCAACTGCAGGAAGTCATTACATCATAGGCCTTTCCACACCTCTCTCCCTACCACGTGTCCAGTGCCCCAAGAGGCTGAAAAGGAACAGGAGAGAGCCTCTCTACTGGTTCACTTATAGGTAGAAGCCATTGCGGCCCAGCCCTGACACCACACCTCCCTCCCAAAGGCCTAGGTGAAGCTCCAGGCCTCAGTCCTCCACACCTGGACCCGGAGGCAAACAGCGCCAGAGTCCAGGCCTCAACGGGAGCAGCAGGTGCGGTTAGTTCGCCTCGAGGTGGCAGGGCTGGCCCGTTCCAGGGCTCAGAACAACTCAAGTTCGGGGGCAGGTTTACTGGAGAAACATCTCTAAGTAATAAAAGTGACAACACAGGCAACCAAAGACAGCCAGCCACTAAAAGGTTTACAACCACTACTTCTTCTAATGCGATCGGAGTGCCTGTGGGAACTAACACCCACAAGCCAGAAACTTCGACGCAAGGGTTTTCATCCAGCTAGTGACAACGACCATGCCCCTGTGACTGACTAGAAACCACAAATCCAACCCCCTCGGGGCACCGAGTCCCAAACACTGCCCCACATCCTCTCACTCCACCCGCAGAACCCTCCCCGCATCCCCATTACGGTGATTTCTACTTCGAAGTTGGCCGCAGACCTACCTCCTCCGTGCAGTCCCGGGAATCCAGCAATGCACTCCTGCCCGCCAATCCTTCCCTCGCCGGTATCCCTTGCACCCTCTCCTCACCTGGCCATGCCCGAGGCTTCCTTGGAAGCCTCCTTTCCCCGCCCCACCCTCCGCGGCCGACCCTAGGTTCCCCTCCCGTGGGGGTCACAGAGATCCCCCCGAAACCTCACAGCGGAGGCTTTCGGTGCCAACCCCTCTCCCCAGCGCCCGCAGGCGCGCTCCGATGAATCGAAGGCACGTCTCGCACTGCGCAGGAGGCCCGGCAGGTCCGGCCGCCCGCCCGAGGTGGGTACGCACCTTCCACCCCGCAGAGCTGTTGCTGTCGCCCTTATCCTTGAAGTAGGGCACGCAGCGCACCATCCACTCGTAGATCTGGGACAGAGTGAGCCGTTTGTCCGGCGAGCTCTCGATGGCGCGAGTGATCAGGTCGGCGTAGGACAGGTTCCCCCAGGCGTTCCGCCGCGACGAGCATTTCCTCGGCTGCCCGGAGCCCCCAGCCGCCCCCGGCTGCGGCGGCGGCAGTGGCTGCTGAGGCTGCAGCGGCGTCTGCGTCCCCCCGCTCAGCGCGCCCGCCGCGGGGGCTGGTCCGGACCCGGAGTCCTGCCCTCCGGGAGCCAGCAGGCGGGCCGAGTCTTCAAGGAGCAGCCCGGAGCCCAGCGTGCGGCTCCCGCCGCCGCCGATCGCCATGGCCGAGACGGCCCTACCGCTGCCGTCCTCGTCGTCTTCATCGTCCTCCTCTTCGGGGATCATAGAATCGGCGGCCGTCTCCCCCGAGGGCTTGGCCGGGCTCCCCTGGAGCTCTGGCCTCTGCAGGGGCCACGTACAGGAGCGCGGCCGGCTCTGGGGCTCGAACTCCGGGTCCAGCTCCACTTCGAGCGGAGAGAGCGGGGCGGGGGAGGCCGGTGCCTCTGCCATCTTCGCCGCCCGCCCGCCCGCCCGCGGCTCGGGCTCTCGCGCTCTCCTCTCGCGCCGGGGCGGGGTGCGGCGGGGGAGGAACGGGGGCGCCGCTGCCGCTACTGCCGCCGCCTGGGGAAGCACGAGAGAAGAGAGAAGGAGAGTTGGTTATCCCAGGCTGGAGCCCAGCCCTCCGCGACTCCGCGCCCGCCGCCGCCGCTTCCCGGCCGCACGGCGCCCGCCTCCCAGAAACAGGCAGACCTGGAGACGTGCGTCCCGCGAACCTGGCGCAGCAGACACCGCCCCCTGGCCAGGCCGCGGGGGAGCCAGGAGCGAATCGACGGGCTCGCACGGGGCAGCCCCTTCCCCCCGCCGCCGGGGCCGCCAGATCTGCAGGTCTCTCCTGGGCTAGGTGGCTGGGCGGGGAAGAAGGGGGAGGGGAGGGGAGGGGCGGGAAGGGGAGGGGCGGGGGCAGGGGGAGGGGCGCGGGCCGCGCCTTTAAAGCGGACAGCGACCAAGGCTGGCGCAGCCGAGCCGCGGTCGGAGCCTGAGCGGGCGTGCGTTTGTTTATGTTTCGCTCGGGCCCGCTCAAGTGCTTCCCGCGGCGCCGCAGCCAAAGTCTGTGGCGTCTTCCTCTCTTCTCGTCCCCAGCCCTGCCGCCTTCGCGCCCCCTTGTACTCCCTTCTCCCCGCCGAGGGGCCCAAGTCCAGGGACGGCGCGGGCAGCCACCTTCTTCCCTCTTCGCTCGCGGGCCAGGAGGACGAACGCGGGTCCGAGCGCGGACGAGCCCTTGTCACTTCCAGAAAAAAGACAAGCCGGGAAGCAGCGGGGCAAGCAGCTCGACGGGTGTTTGCCAAGGGTCGAGCCAAGCAGGAACGACCACTTTGGGATTTTGTGGGGTTTATTGGCTCGCGGGCGTTGTACCCTCCACCCCCTTCCCAGTAAAGAACGGGGGGGGGAGGGGGCAAGTCAGAACATAAATCTTCCAACAGGTCAGGAAGCGCCAAGTCTCCCGGGTTGCCAGAAAACCCGGACCAGCACGTTCATCACCTCCTTGCTCCCGCTGCTGCCATCTTGACAGTTTTCCCCCCTTCACTCAAGTCCTTTAAAAACACTAGCGGGAGGGAAGGGGGGCGCGCACACCGAGTCACGGGGAGGGAAAAGGGAAGCGCCTGGCCCAGCTCGGAAGCAGATCCGGAGTCACCGGGAAGGCGACCGCCCCGCTGCACAGCTCCAGCGCCTACCTCAGTTCCTTCCCTTCAGGGACGAGGGGGGAGGACGCACAATTCCGCGCGGGCCCGGGGCACTGCGAGGAGGGAGCGCGCAACCTCGGCGAAGGAGAGGCGCTCCGGCCGCCGCCGCAGCCCGCCTGAGGAAACGCCTGTCAGCCTGCGCGCCGTCGCCTTCCACATTCCTCCTCCTCCCTTCCACGAGCAGGGCGGCCGCGGCAGCAGCACAAAGTTATAGACACACGCAGGGTGCCTCAACCTAGGCTGACGGCGGGCGGGTCCCCGCCCAGGGGGAGGGCTGGGCGGCGGGCCCGGGTGTGCTGTGTGCGTGCGTGTGTGTGCGTGTGCGTGTGTGTGTATGTGGGCTCGCGCGCGCGCGCCTGCGCGGCCGGGCTCCGCGGGACTGCGGGCGTGTCAGGGAGCGCGCCGCGGGCCGGGACCAGGCGGGCTCCCGCAGCCGTCCCCGCCGGGCTCCTCCTCCCTCCGAAAGCCTCAACGACAACAAAGCGCAGCGCTGGCCTAGGAGAAGAGGGAGGGGGAGAGCAAAGCCCCAAACGCTCCACGAGCGCAGTCGCGTGGCCTCTCAGACTCGGGGCAGGGCGCCTGCTACCGGGGGTCCCCGGCGGGCGCGTTCGTCCGCCAAGCTCTGTGCCCGCCCTCGTGTCCGGTTCCCTGTTAGAATCGAACACCAGGTAACACCCGAGATGAGATGCTGGCCGCAGATTCCAAGGATTACCACGGCGTGGAAATACGGACAAGCAAAGATGTTGGTGCCTTACAGGACTTCGATAAACTGATGCCTTCAGATTTGATCAGGCACCGAGAGGTTTGCAGCCGAGTCTCTTACCTAAGACGCCCGACGCAGTGGTGTTTCACTTTTCATGGATTTCATGGCAAATGAGGGGAGAAGTGTAACTAACTCAGGAGAAATGCAAATTATTCCCCATTCCTAAAGGCAAGAGCAGATCTTGAACAGTTATGAATGGAAAATAATTTGATTCTAACTTGTAAATGACTCCAGAAGGGCTACTTGTGCTTTTAGTTTTTTAAAAAGATATTTCTTTAGGTTTAGAAAAACATCTTCACAAGCCCTTATCCTACTATCAGTATCTAAATTGTTCATTTGTGCACTACGAATGCACTCCATGCGACACGCACACCAAAAGCCTATTCACTTTGGTTCATAAATATCTTTCTTTTCCCCCTTTTTCTTAAATCCTCCTAAGTCCCTGGAAATAGCTCAGTCTAGAGCTAGCTCCTCACAATCCAGTACACAAAAAGGTCCAACCCAGGGTACTCAAGAGTCCGCCCACCCAGCGAACTCCAGGCTCCGGGCTTTGCGCAGGGCCCGTCACTCAAGTGACGTGCGGCCCCGCCCCTGCACCAAGCTAGTTCGACGCGTACAAACAGATGATGTCATTGTATCCACACGCGCGTGACCGGGGAGCTCTGCGCCGCGTCCCCATTCGCTGCGCCGCCTACTTGTCAAACCACGCCGCGCGCTGACTGGCCGCGGCCACCAGTCTCCGGGCCCCAGACACCCCTCTCCGCCCCCCGCCCCCGCCCCCCGGCAAATAATAAACAATCGAGTAAAATTCTAAGGAAGAAAGGAGGGGAGGGAGAAGAGGAGAAAGAGAGGGCGACCCAGAAGCCAGTCCTTCGCGCGCTGAGGGAGAGTTCAAAGGAGGGGGGACTTAAGGAAGACAGGGGAGGGGAGAAGGGGAGCAGACCTGGGGCGATGGGTCCTGCCGAGTTGTGGCGGTATCGGCGGAGGAAAGTTGGAGAGCACCCAGCGGGGCGCGCCTGGCAGAATGGGAGGACGCTAGGGCCCTGGAGCGGCAGGACTCGGGGCTTCGGGGCGGTGCGAGGCCGTCGGAGGGGGAGGAGAGTGAGCAACGCAGGAGCGGCGCGGGCGGAGCCGGCAGACACGTGCGGGAGGAGGGCGGGCGCGCGCCGTACTGGCTCGACCGGGGCGCGCGGCACGGTAGCCGCGCGCGCTTGTTTACCAGCGCACGTGGGTGTTATTTTTAAATGGAATGTTGTGCTGGCCGCGCGGCAGAGTGGCGGACGCGTGGGGTCGCCCGCGCTGGCTGGGGGGACGCGGCAGGCCCGCGCCACGGCCTCTCCGGGCTCTGTTCACCGGCCAGCCAGGCTGTCCCCACTTTGGGCTTCCAGCGCAGCGGCTGGCGCGGGCCGGGGAGCCTGATGGCGAGTTTCGCGCGCTGCCAAAGCCTCTACTGAGGCGTCGAGTTCCCGCCGCGGAAAGCTGCCTTCTTTAAGCCCGGCTTCGGCTCCCTCATTCACATTCCGGGAACAAAGCCACCTACTTCTCGCCATGGAGGCCGCACAAGGCCAGGCTCCGCGGCCACAGGTTCCAGAGCCAATTTCACACGCTCACATACTCCCTGGCATACTACCCCCTGGCCGCGAGGTAGACTGTTATCATCTTGCGTAGTTTGTGACCTCGCTACCTAGCTCAGAATGTCCCCAGCCCTTTATGCACCCGTCACTGGGGCTTACAGCTCTGCCAAGTACAACGCTTTTGCTACCTTGGCTTGTCTTTGGAAGGGGACTCTGGGAAAGGGGGCTCTGACTGCTTCCTGAGGTTGCTTCTGTGCTTGCTGCTCCCCTCCTCATTGTGGGCCTGACCTGAGAAGCCCTGAGTTTGCATTTGGTTTATAGCATGGCAACGTGGACGTTGAAACACGACCACAACACTCAATTGCAGGTGTCCGTAGCGGGTGGGAGGGGTGGATCGGGGCTTTAAATTGGGGCTTCAAAGTGCACATGGAAGGGGGGGTGCTTTTGGGCATATTACTGGGAGTCGTGTTCAGCTTTGTGGGAGGAACCCGGAGGCCAGATCACCCAGTGCTTTACACCGTGATACAGCATAAAATCCAGAGAACTTTCAGTTGCTCCTTCTTAATATTTGTAACACACTGTAAAAGAAATGCACGCTTTTCCCTCTCTGAATCTAAGCGATCTTTTGTCGTTAAAATACATGCAGATTTAGAAAGAATGTGTTTACACTGGCTGGGATCTCCGCCATTAGATTTTCACTATAAACCTGTTGAGTGTCCATTTACAGAATGCATAACCCAAGGGCATTGAAAAAAATGGAAGCGTTAAAGATTCAGTAGATTGAGCTCTTTGTGACCCTATTGGTGAGGAATGGGGGTTGGGGACATGATATATCTATGTACCTCAAAGAGCTTACAGTTGTGGGGGGATAGACATTAAAAAGTTCAGTATTTCAAGAGTTGAAAAGCAGTACAAGACAAAAACACAAGAGGTCATGCATAGTGTTGGGCAAATTTCAAATGGATTGAGGATCAAAACTTCAAATGGAAAAACAACAACAACAAAAACTTCAAAAGGCAGCAACTATAAACCTTCAGCTTGGTAAATGTGCATCATACCCAGAGAGTTTACCCTTGTAATTTGTCCCCTGTGGGCAAACCTTTGAAAACTAAGAGGCTGAACCTTAGTAATTGTTATATTTTTGCAGGAAATTGCTTTGACCTTTACTTTCCCCTCCAAGGCCTCCATGGTCCTTCATTTTTTCTGTCCACCTTTTTTTCCCCTCAACGTTTTAGTACATACAATCCCCACCTTACGATTGTTCAATTTAGGATTTTAGGATTTTTCAACTTTACAGTGGTGCACAAGGGATTCACATTCGGTAGAAACCCTATTTCAGTTTTGAATGTTAATCTATGCTCCCCCACTCTTGGCCCCCACAGCTACACGTGCTGCTGGGCAGCCCCAGTGAGCCACAGCTCCCAGTCAGCTGCCTGATCACGGGGGTTGACAACCGATATACTTATAACCATTCCGTACCCATGCAATCATTTCTGTGTTTACTTTCA